TGGAAGATTGCCTTAGTAAGTAGGGTAAGCAAAGACAAAGAGAGAGCAGTACAACAGGCTAGTCACCTGTGTATTTACTAACGTTCAGAAGCATCCACCTGGAATGTCAGAACTCTTCCAAAAAGGTGGTCATGCCTCTGAAAGCTCAAATGTGGAGATTACATAGCAGCAGGTTTCTGTCTTATCCCTTCTCTTAATTTTATTCATCTAGTGGACAGCTGTAAACATTAACTCTAAAAACTGCCTTCGGGATTGACTAACCAGGAAAAGGTGGACGGAAAACCTAAAAAGTAAGTGGCACAAAACCCACCACACCTACATTGCAAGTCCATTTGTCTAACATGGTAGAGTGTAGCAAAAGTTTAAATATAGACTTTTATTATTTTAAGCTGAAAAATAATTACTTTCAAGTCTGGGGTTTTTTTGTTTTGTTTTTTAAGTACTCAACACTCCTTAAGATTTGGGGTTTTTTCTGCATGTTTTCTTTTTTTGTTTACTGGTAGGAAAAATTACCTCCTCTTTCAGCGCATGTTTCTTCTGCTCCAAACAGATTTCTTTAGCACGCATCAACTGCAGAGTTTCCTTAGAAACTGCATACTGAAGCTTTTCCATACGTTCCACTGCTGCGGCCCATGCTGCCTTACCAAATTTTTTCTGGTCTGCTCGCATTCGATCGTACACAGCTACAGAAGGGAAGACAAGGCAGACAGCTTACCAGTCTACTCTTCAGATCACTAGTGATTCTACTGCAGACAATGCAGACACACATTTCTATGCAAAAGCATACAAAGATCTCCTAGCAGGGAGTAGTCATTCTACAGAGTACTAAAGTTCAAATCCAGAATGTTAAGTACTCTTGGGATTCATGTAAATATGCAATTAGCTATTTGTTGATAATTTTATCACTACAATTCCAATTTTTGTTATGCACAGAGGGACGATTCTGAACTACTGGTTCAGAATTCTTGACTTAATAAAAACCTCATTAATGCTACCATGTGGTCTTAAACTGCATCCAACGTTTTCTCCACTTCTGAAAGCATCAATTATCAGCTACTAAAGTCTCCAGTTTCCCTTAGTAATTTCTATAATGCAGTCAAATCTGCAGAGTGAAAAAAATTACAATTTACAACAAAAATTTTAGCTTGACCTCAAGTGCAATAACGTAAGAATACTGAAGTAAATTTAAGTAACATCTATCTTTTAACTTAAAATGCAGGTTGCTTCACAAAATTACTTCAAATTAACTAAACAAATTATAATCTGATCTTAATATGCAGAGATGAATGACCATCTGTCCAGGAAGACTACTTCAGAGTAGCGGGAGTCCCTTGCTTGATTCAGATTTTCTATTCTTGAGCCCCAGACAACATCTAGACTGACACACATGAGCTTTTCACCATTTTTAATATATAGAACAATCACATGATACTGTACACTTAGCTTTGCAAAGCATAAGGCACGCAAGTCACACTGTATACTTAGCTCTGCAAAGCATAAGGCACGCAAGTCACACAATCAAAGAGATGGCATTAAGTCTCCAGGTGACAGAAGACAGTACACACTGTTAGGTAATAAAAAATAACCTTTATGTTCTCATGTGCTTTTCCTTTGCCCTCTGTTAGTATTTTGGTATGATCAGCAAGAGGCCAGAAAAACCCAAAGCATAACAAAACAGGCAAGCAACCTATATACCAAAGGTCTATGGTTGTAAACAGTGTCCAAGCATTTAATTTCCCAGTGTTTTTCCCCACAATCCTGACTGCTGTACGTAAAAAAGCATGTGAAAAAACCCCAAAAGTAACTGTAAATACAAGTTCTTTATCAACTAATAGGGTATTTTATTTGCTGCCTTTGCCATACTAGAAAAGGAACCAAACTAATTAAATACATTTAAAATTTGCTCTCATTAAATCATTCCAACATGCTTGAATTGGTTTAGTCACTTTTTCAAAATAAGGTGAAGTTTCATTTTATCTTTAACTTGGGTTTGTCACCAAAAGGAAAGAATTTTGCAGTGACTGCTTCTCTTGAGGCAGATCTAACAGTCATGCAGGGAGATGACAGGAAACCTACCAATCAAAAAAGATTTTCTCCTGGGGTACAGATCATTTATCTGCTTGCACAATCACTACCACCAAGGCAAAGGAAGAAACAGGAACCTGCGGTCAGGCAGGGAAGACAGCAGGACATAAACTCCGCCAGTGGTAGCCCATAGTCAAACTAAAAGAGGTGACATGAAACTACATCCTCAGGTGTTTGCTTTAATAAACTGATTATTTAAGTTAAAATGCTGCAAGGATGACAGCATTGATGTACATGGCAAGTCACATGACCCGGTTTTACTGCACCAAGTCTTTACTAAAACTGCCACATTCTTCAAGTGTAGAAATGCCAAGGTTATCTCCACGAAGATTTCTGAACAACAGAGCAGCTTTCACAGAGTTTCTCAGAAACAAGCTGCTGTTTAATATTTAGGGCTATGAAAAAATTTACTGAAAGGCAGAAAAGACAGGAAAAGGAAATTTAACTGAAAGGTAATAAACGCTACGGTGGTGTGCCATATCCAGTTCACAAGACAGAGTTCATTAGGGAATCTATGCTCCCTAAATCCTTTGCAAAATGTACAGTGCAGCTAATGCAATCACATTGAGAAAGTGGTTGTAAAACTTATATTTAAAATTTCTATTCTGCTCACTTCTGATGATGCTATAAAAAGGCTTATTGGTGAAATACCCGAATAGACACGGAAGAAGAAAGAAATGGGAATGATAACTGCATCTTCCTCATAGAGAACTTGGGGGG